TGGAGCATCGTCTCCTTGGGGGCTGCGATGCCCGATGGAGACCCTGCTCTGTGTGTGAGCTGCGCCCGTGCTGCGCCCGCACTGCACCTGTGCTGCACCCACACCTCAGCCATACTGCACCCATGTTGCACCTACATGGCACCTCTGCTGCACCCGTGCTGCACGCACACCTCATCCGTGCTGCACCCGTGCTGCACCCATGTTGCACCCACACAGCACCTGTGCTGCACCCATGTTGCGCCCACACTGCACCCATGCTGCACCCATGTTGCACCCACACGGCATCTGTGCTGCACCCACACCTCAGCCATGCTGCACCCATGTTGCATCCGTGCTGCACCCACGTTGTACCCATGTTGCACCTGTGCTGCATGTGTGGTGCACCCGTGCTGCACCCATGTTGCACCTACGTGGCACCTGTGCTGCACCCGTGCTGCACCCATGTTGCACCCACACGGCACCTGTGCTGCACCCATGCTGCACCCACGTTGCACCCACACTACACCCGTGCTGCATGGGCAGCCGGGAGGTGCAGGCAGGGGGTGAGGGGCTGCTCCTTGCATAAAACCCCACGCGTGGGGAGCTTTGCGAGCGAGGTGGCACGGGCAGTGTTTAGAAGTGTTGCTGGGGGAAAGCGCATCCCGGACGCGCCGTCTCGCAAAGCTGCCTCCCGGCAGCGTGCGGACGCCGTTCCAGGCCGGCCGCTGCAGGATCCGTGCCCGCTGCACCTCTTGGCAGCAGCGGAGAGCATTGGGTTTTGTGCAAACCCAGATTTCAGGATCCGGTGTGGGACCTTGCCCTGACAAATGCAGGCGAGGTCTTAGTCTGGCTCTGCTGGTAATTACACGGCCGAGGCATAAACCAGGTAAATACGGCGTAAACTCCCCCATTAAACAGCAGCGAGCCCCATTAGTGTCAGTGCAAGGGATAAGGCGCCGGTATCTAGCAGCGATGAAAATTAACTGTTGAGCTGGGCTGGAGACTTTGGCAACATGATTTTTCAAGTCAGGACTTTGTGTGAATATTTGGGCACGTAGCTCTTAATTGTCTGGATGGGAATTCCAATCGATGGGAAATAAGCTTGTTAACCCCTTTACGGCCTTGCCCACTGATTTCTGAGGGATCTGTGGTCCTAAAAGGTTGTAATGGGTGTTTTCAGCTTTGTGGTGTAGGAATAGCTGCAGAGAGCACAGGGCAGGTCTGGACCGCTTGCAGCCCCCGGAGAGAGACCGGCTGCAGCACCAGCATCTCCTGGGGATGTTTTCAGCTGCCCTCTCATCCCTCTGTGGGTGCAAGGAGGTGATGGGGACGTGGTCCAAGGCTTTGCTCGCCTGATGGCCCCCGGTTCTCCCTCCCCGTCTGCAGGTGACCAGCGCAGCAGTGTGGTCAATGAGTCCAGCAGCCTGCTGGGGGGCTCCCCCCGCCGCCAGTGCGGCCGCAAAGGGTCCCCGTATCACACCGGGCAGCTCCATCCTGCCGTGCGGGTGGCGGATCTCCTCCAGCATATCAACCAGATGAAGACGGCAGAAGGCTATGGCTTCAAGCAGGAGTATGAGGTGAGAGCATCTTGTGCTGGCATCTTAAGGAGGGTGGGAGGTAGGATGGACAAGGTGGCATGGGTAGGACCCGTGTGCAAGAAGAAGATGCTCCAGACCTGGAGCTGCAATGCTCTGGACAGCAGGAACCGGAGCTCGCAGCTCTCTGAGCAGGCATCATCAGCATGTGGGGTGTCCCTGGGTCTGGATCAAATCTCTGGTCCTGGCAGCTCAGGAGTTAATCATCAGCTTGAACAGGTCCCTGAGATGACCCAAACCAGCTCTGCCAGCCAGCCCGCACCCCTCCTGTCTGCAGCGCGTCATCCCGCTTCTCCCTTCCTTGGGTCCTCCTGGGCACCACGACATCTTCTTCTGCTCTCCAGCACGCTCGTCCCGCGATGAGCATGAACGTAGCCTAAATCCTCTGCAGTCTGGCAGCTCCCAAGACCGCGGGGACCCCCGGAAGAGGATGCGAGAGAGGGCGAGCCCAGGGGGAGGGAATTTCCCCCCGGAGGGTTGTTGACCACATTGTGCCCATCCCACCTCGTTGGGCTGGAGCGCTTGTAATGGAGCACGCTATTCCGCACGCCTCTTCCGTGGCGCGCCCAGCAGGGGTGATTTCCTGGCTCCTCGGTGTCCCACAGGTCTGGCGATTGAAATTTCCCAGTGAAATTACTGTTTAATGCTTAGTTGTTTCACTTGCCCCCCCTCTTTCATGTATTGGACAAACCAGGGCTTGCTGTAATCATTAATGCTCCTTGAAAAGCTGCTGTATGTTCTTGGAACTAGTCATTTGAAAGCACTCAGATATTATGGGAGGGGAGAAAACATGTAATTTCCTTCCACTTTCCTCCTCTTATGCCAGTCTATGAATGTTACCGTTATTACACATAAACCTGTTCTGTGCTGGGGAGAGAAAGGGACTGGGGAGATTTAGAGAAAAAAAAACCAACAACCGTGGGGAAAAAAACAGGAAGTCTATAATTTGTTGGAAAATGGGGCATTTTGAGGATGCAACAGAAGTGTGTAGCTGGCAGAGCGTGCTATGGAGCTGGAGCCGGGGCTGCAGGACGCAGGTGTTGAGGTGCAGAGACCACCCTGTCTGCCCCACTCCCCGGGAGGGTTGACCCTCAGGTCGTGACAGCCATCCTTTCCTTACAGAGTTTCTTTGAAGGCTGGGATGCTTCGAAGAAGAAAGACAAGACCAAAGGGAGACAGGATCACGTGTCGACATGTGAGTACCCTTAGGCACTTCAGGGCTTTGACACCCTGAACAGCTTGAAAAACCTTCTAAAGGGCTTTGGGTTTTTTTTTCTGGTAGGTGTGCAGTCCATGGCACGGAATAAACTGGTGGGGTTTGGTTGGTCAAAGGCAGCAGAAAGGTCCTTGCTCAGCACAGGGGTCCCAGCCTGAGAGCTCCTGTTGGGCATCGGACACTGGAGCGAGTTGGAGGGATGGAGCTAGGCCAGCGTTGACCCGTGGAGCTGGATAACTTGAGGACAAAACATCTTGGGGTGCTTTAAAATTGGTGCTAACATCACCATGGGTGGTGCTGGAAAGCCCCAGATAACCTGGAGTTGTATGGACTTACTGCAGCCCTGCCCTAGGGAGCTTCTGGTGTGGACATGCAGGATGAGGCAAAGGGGTTAAATGATGAGTTTTTAGGACAGAAGACTGGGGAAGGGCTTGACCCCACCAGCTCAGGGAGATGCTGTGCTGAAAGCTGCTCCCCCGTGTCCCTGCTGGTCTATATCACCATCTTTGCAAGGATCTCCGCCAGCTTGTACTTACTGCTCCCGAGTGTGTGCCACCCGCCTGCGTATTGCAGATTCCCAGTGCAAAACGATTGCAAAGGGTGCCCAGGTACCCTGGGACCCGGAGGGGTGACGCGCCGACCCCGTGCTTGTCCCCCCGGGTGCTGATGGTCCCTTCTCCCCATGCTCTCCAGACGACCGTCACCGAGTGAAGCTGCACCCGCTGCTGGGGGATCCCAACTCAGACTACATCAATGCCAACTACATCGACGTAAGTGGGGACGGTGCCTCGCTCTGTGGGGGCCTGGGCTGGGGCAGGAGCTTCCCGTGGACCTCGTGGGCTGTCAGGCTCTGTCCCTGAAGTGCCAGCAGTGTTTGGAGGAGCTGAGGCAGCGTGGGGTGTGCTGATCCGTGCACCCCTGAGCCATGCCATGAAGAGCCCACCTGGTTTATGTTTATCGGCAATTTCTGCTTGCCCCGTCGTCGCTGTCCCCTGCAGCTGCGTCTCTCCCTCCTCTGCTCCGCTCTGTCCCTCCTTTCTCATTCCCTCTCTCCTCCCCTTTTCCATCCCCTCTTCCCTCGCCTGCTCCCATGGATCTCCCTCCCCCCCGATCCTGTTGGTGCGTGTGAGTCTGGGCCCTCCTGCAGGAGTGATGTGCCTGAGGAGTGATGTCCCCCCGTCACCTCCAGCGATGCTGAGACCAGGGGAGGTGCAGGAAGGCTCCATTGGGCACAGGGCTCGAACATCTCCTGGGAGCAGCAGCAAGTCCCGCTCT